TACATATATACATATATACACACACAAACACACACACACTATGGAATACTACTCAGCCATAAAAAGGAATGAAATCATGTCTTTTGCAGCAACATGGATGTAACTGTAGACCATTATCTTAAGTGAAATAATTTAGAAACAGTAAGTCAAATACTGCATATTCTTACCTGTAAGTGGGAGCTAAATAATGTGTACATATGGAAATACAGAGTGAAATAGGGGATGTCAGAAACTCCAAAGCATGGAAGGCAGGAGAGGGGTGAGGGATGAAAAATTACCTATTGGGTACAATGTGTTACTATTCAGTAATACACTAAACACCCAGACTTCAAGGTTTATTTTATAATCAGCAGTAGGTATTAGAGAATTATTTATATTAAAAATTAACCATACATTCAATTTCAGTTATATTCTTTGCATTCTACTCTTCCTCGCTCCCCATCCTCCCCTTCCTTCCTCCCTTTTCTTTATCTCTTTCTTACTTGCTTGCTTTTTTTTTTCTTTCTCTTTTTCTTTCTGAAAAGTCTTATATTTCTATTACATTATAAGTTAGCAATGGGACCTACCTCATAAATAAAGGAATAAAATGATTTGATTTTGGATGTGAATGAATATTTCTTTAGAGAGCTGTAAGAAAAATTTAAGTAGTATAATGTGGCTATTAGAATGTTAATATTTAGCACTCATGATCTGAAGCAAAAAAAAAAAAATGGCACTTCTGGTTCTTAAGAAAATATGTACATGCTTTTATTCTTTCAGTTCAGGTTTACAGCTTCACTCTATTTCAGTGCCAGGCTGCTTTCTTGTTAGAACCTCTTTTGGAATACAAGTGTAAGTAGGGAGGAAGAGGACATGAGAAAAGAATGCCTGTACACTGATAACAAAAAGTTATATGTTGTTTTCAATATCCTCTACGTTATATGAGGTTAAATCTTGCCTTCCTAAGAGTCAAGGAACTCAACCTCTAAAAATATCAGAAGTTTCTTAAGACGACAAAAATAGCATTTCTCCAAATAGAGAAAAAACATCTAATTCCATGGTATAATATGTCGGCTGGCAAATTTCCTTTTAAAAAAGTCATTCTTGTTACTATTTATATAGTTGCAGATATTAAAGAGATCATATTTATTTCTTTAAAATTTGTAACAAAGAAAAAATGCAATTTGGTTGAGCAGTTACCTTGCTGATCCCACAAATTGTCATACTCTCTCGTCCCCTTTCCTTTATGGAGTCTTTATTCTTTTGGAGTAGACACATTTCTTTAATCACTAATCACTTTCCTCCCTCTCTCTATGGTTCCTGCTTATGTTTAAAGATTTACTTACTTTTTGAAGACCTTTATATCCACATGTTCTGCTTTCCCCGGTCCTAATTTAGCAACAACCCTGTTTACTGTAATTTTAATTGTTTCCATTTTCTCTTAGTAGAGTGTAGACTCTATCAAGGCAGGAAAATCATGATTTAACAATAGTGGGTCCTTAAACCTAACATAGCTTTAAAATATATTTGCAAGTAGAAAATTTTTGTTAAATAAATGCATTTTTGAAAAAGCAAATTATTATTCCTGTGACTAACTTAGTCTAGAAATGAAACTTTTTCACTTGGGCCTCAAAATTTAGTACACACATGTAGGCTTATTGTATTTGTTGTAGAATTTTTACATATCTAAATTGGGAGATAAAAGAGGAAGAAAGTAATGGGGTAGTAGGGAAATCTGACAAAAAGAAATATGAAAAACTCATCATTTTGCAAATTAAATTTACCTCTATTATAAAGCAGGAATGAATCATGCCAGAGTACCCCTTCCAAATTTTCTTTCCTTTGTCACTTCTCTTTTCTAATTTCAATGTACTACAGAAGGAAATGTGACAGGTTTATATTTATTTATTTTCTAACAAATGACATTGCTTTATTTTTCTCCAGAAATATTGCTGTTGTCTATTGACAAAACATTTTTTAAAGGAGAAATTACTTATTAAATAAGACATTGGATAAGTTAAAACTCTGTAGTGCCCAGTTTTGCTTCTTGAGAATCTCATATGATTCACAAACATGGTCTAGATATGTATTTTTATTGGAATCAAACCTAAACTTCTAAATCCTAGATAGTTGTGCTGTTTTTATGATTGAATGAACAGATTTCCCTTTTTCTTTCACAGAAGAAACCCTAGCAGATATAGGCTCAGATACTAATAAAGCAAACCAATACAATCAAAGTAAATTCACAAGAGATATTTACCCATCCTCTATACTTTTTTTTTTTTTAGGTCCTAGGAGAAGGTAGATTCCAGGTACACAAAAATAGAGAATTGTAAGCTAAGGTTCTGTTATAAATATATACATATTTTCTTTATAACCCTTTAGGTCTAAAGAGTAACTCTAGTTTTTTAAAAATATGTTCTACGAAAACTGAGTTGAAAACTACTCTAGGAAAACATTTTTAAAGTTATTGTTGGCTGGTGGGAATATGGGGTGGAGTTGTTCTTAGAGAAATGAGAGCAGCAATAAAAAGGAAGTTTAAAAAAAAGCTTGTCACAGGGCAGCATAGTTCCAGAAGACAGTACTGACCAA